TCAAAGTGATTGCCGTCACTTTGAAATACTGTCGAGTTGATTATGCTGTGGTATTTTTCGTAGAAATCCTGTAGTTATAAGTACTTGGAGTTGTCCTTGATCTGTTAGTTTTGGTTTGAAGTCATTTCGAGTTGTATTTTGAGAGTTATGATTTTTCTAAACCGAGCATGCTGCTGAATCGTAATAAATTCACCATAAATCGAGTTGTTATCCGTTTGAGCTGAAATTTTGATATGTTGTGCCTCTAAGTATGTTCAATGTGTGTGTCAGCCCCTGAATTGATTTCTGAGTTTTTCGAGTTCAAATGCTTAAAACGGTTTCTGAGCAGAAACTTGTAAAATTCATTAAAAATCGTAAACTTGAAGTTTGGAGCTGAAACTTTCAGGAACCTGATATTTTCTGATGTTTTAGGTTGTGTGAACATTTCAGACTGAAACTTGAAGTGTAGCTGTGCGAACTATTAAATGCTGATTTTGGTGCTATTTTTGCTTAAATCATTTAAAAATGTTCCCAGATGAATTTGGGGCTGAAACTTGGTGAGTTTATGTGTTTTTGCATGTTTTATAATGTGGTAAAGTTTCAGGTTTATTGGCTGAGCCTAACTCCTGATTCTGAATTTTATTTATTTTGGAGTCTAAATGTTCGGTTATCGGTTGGTTAGGTTCGGATAGGATTTATTCAATGTCGGCATGTTTTATGTGAAATGTTTTAGGTATATGAGTTGTGTCCAGGTCTAGTAGTCACTCCATAGTACTTAACTCGGTCAAGGAATCCACGAGTCACTTAGTCGATATGATTTCGGCTAAGTATATGTGCCTTATGTGTTGTTTTGTTTTGGGCAGTCAGTAATAGGTCTTATAAATTGTTGTAGGTCCTTCGAGCTGAACTTGTGCCATAATTCCTTCAACTCTGTCTTTGGGTATACCTCTTGCAATATCCAGGTGGGTTTAATGTAAAATTGTGTATGCTGTAAATGTTATTATTGTTTTAAATTTTGGTTGATCAAGTATGCATGTGTAACATGTAGCCTTCGATGTGAGCTGTATCGGCCGTTGAACGGTTATCCCGGTATTTATGAAATGAAACCCGTGGGGTTCTTTACGCCTGTAAGACCAAGGCTGTGCTCGATCGGAGGTATGAGACCAGGGCTGTGCTCGGTCGGTTCCCCATTGTGTGACCAGGGCGGTGCTCGGCCGACGGGGGATACTCCTACTGGCCGGACACTCGTTGTAAGGCCTTAGATAAGGCGTTCGGTATATAATTCGACAGTAGTCTATTGCTATAGGTGTGCACACGAGTCTATTATTGATATTATTGATGGGAGATTGGGATAGATGATTGTTTCGTATACGTGCAACGACCGTACCTAACATATTATTGATTATTGATCATTGTTTCTTAATTATGGATAATGTTTATTGCATAGTGGTGAGCACTACTTTTTCCAATTGTGCTCATCCCCACCTGAAATTCACATTTCAGGTTAAGCGAGGTGGGTGCGACGGTGGAGTTAAGCGAGTGGTGGTCGGTCTATGAGACTGGTCCTATTATTGTTTATGCTTCTGCACTTATGAATTTGGAATAATGTTGTTGTCATGAATTTTGAATTTTATGATTGAATAATGATAAGGAGATGCTCCTTAGAACTTATGAATATTATTGAAACCCAGTTTGGGTAATGATTTATGGATTTTTGGAAAACTCGTTTGGGAGTTAGTATTATTGAATGATGATTGAGTTTGATAATTGATTGAATATTGGAAGGTTGGATAATTATTGATGTTCAAAAATGAGCAGCGCTTTAAATGAGTATTTTGAAATAAATTTTGAAAAATTTATTCTAATTTTCGGTAAATAAAAGTGGGGCGTTACAAGTTGTCCTGATAGGATGACTTTCGTTTATTTCCGGGGACGGAAATATTTTAAGGAGTGTATATTGTAGCGCCCCGTTCGTTTATTAGAATTTTTGGATCTTTATATTATTATTTATTTGCTTATAATGAATATTTACCTTATTTTATATATTTGTCGGTTATGATATTAATTGCTCGTCTTACTTGTTCTGCTTGAGATAAATTGTTATGTGACTAATATATGTGATTATTATATGTTTATATATTAATTATGTGTATCAGAATTATTAGAATTTAATTGGATTAGAATATATTTTATTTCGGCGATTTTCGGTTTAATCGCGTAAATCGAAATTAAATCCGTTCCAATTCGTGTTCGACCCTTTTTGACTCGTTCCTAATCTAGACTTCAAGATTTGATTTTCCTAGCCCAAATTTACTTGTAATAACCGGCCCCATTTTCCCTTTTATGATCCAAATGACCTTAGTAGTTTATTAATATTATTTGTCTTTTGCAATTCAAAGTTGTAGAGTTTGAATATTGAGACTTTGACCAAATTTCTTCCACCCCATTTACACGCCCATCATCCAAATTATTGTGCAATTAGGAGCCTTGATGGGTGAAATTATGGTAATGTATATCATAATGATTTCCCTTCATTCACTTATATCTCTTATTTTTTTCCTCTCCTTCCACACGTTTTTACTTCTCTTTTCTAAGGAAAAATCTGAAACGCTCTCTCCCACTCGTATCTCTCTCGTAAACCTCGTAGAAGCCAGAGCAAGAAATATCGAAAATCGACCCAACGCCAAGTACGCCTAGCGGACGAATTCCCTGCTGGAAAGAGCCGAGCCCGTGCTTGACCGCGCCGTGTCGCCTTTCTTCCCTTGGTGTTTGGTAGCCTACTGAACTCCATGGATTATTATGTGTTTTATATGTGTTCATGGCTGAATATATGATATGATTTGTGTTTTGATATCAAAAGGTTGGCATAATGTATTATTTTTATATTCATGAATTGGATTTTTAGGGTTTAAATAGAAACCCAAATGATCTGATGTGTACTCGTGAAAATCTTGTGGATTCAGGAACATATGAGTGACCTTGTGATGCTGGTTTTGACCTTGTGTCATTTAGAAGTCTATATTTTGAGTTATGAATTTATGAACTTGGTGTTGCTGCAATTATTTGTGAAATTCGTGATAAATCGAGCTGTTACCCAAAAATGATGAAATTTTAATACGTTATTTCTCTGATGTATCTTGTCTTTGTGTATAAATTTCAAAATTTTTGGAATCCATTTGCTAAGGTAAATGTTGATTTGAAAATTTTTGCCGAAACTTGTTTAAATCATGTAAAATCAACCCCTTGCTGAAAATGGTTGAATTTTGGTTTATATGATCATTTGATAATGTGTCATATGACATAAAAATTTCATATTTTATTGAATTTATTTTTGTGGATTTTTGATGAAAACGTGATTTCTGATGAATCTTGCAATAATGACTATAAAGTGTGTGTTTACTGTTTGGAACTGAAAATTTTATATGTTGATTCCCACATGCTGTAGTTGTTTGTGTAAAAGTTTCAGGACTTAAAATCATTTGTTAGATGGACTATAAATTCATGCTTGTTTTTGCTGTAATATTGTTTTAATTTTATAAAATCACATGTATATGTGTTATGACTGAAATTTTTTGAAGTGTATATATTCAGGGACATGTATCATGTGTTATATTTTCAAAACAAAATTCATCCATTTGTCGGTTCACTAGAAAATGTGAATTACTTGTCAAATGTTTCATATATTGGTTGAATATGTTAACTTTAGAATTTTGGCATGATTTTTAATATATGATGTCCTCCTTGCATGTTTTATAAGTGGTGTGAATTTCATGTGAAGTGGCTGAGTATCTCATGAGATGGCCTTTTTGTGTGTTTTTCATTTTGGTTTGAGTCGAGTCGAATGTTCCATAATTTCACGAGAATTTTCCACGAGCCACTTAGTCGACGAATTCGACGAAGTTTGTGTGATCGTTGGACTTGTTGTACTCGAGAGGTCATCTTGATTTCGTGTAGGTGTTTCGAGGTGTTGACCTCAAACCCTATCCTTTCGAGCTCTGTTTGTGAATTGTCGCTGCTTTCAGGTGGGTACATTTACGAATTATCGCACTTGTTATTTCGTATAAATAGTTGTCCGATAGCTTTTGTATGCGTGAGAACCCTAGTCTAGGTGTCCCGTTGTTAGTGCCTTTGACCAATGCATAAACAGTGAGAGGTCGCCGGTCCGTATGTGATTCGGGAGGTGGACGCCCTGATCCGTGTGTTTTTCGTGGGGGAAAACAGCTCCACTGTCTCCTGGAAAGGATCCCATGATCCGTGTGTTGTTCTGGGTGGGAAGGTTTCCAGTTACATCCTTGCTGATGTCTGGTCGGGAGGTTTGTTGTATGTACATAGGAGGTATGCGATAGGGCCGAGTAGGGATTTAGACCTAGATTCTATGCATACATTAATTACGGTTTTGAATCTTTATGCGGGATATACTGTGCGATAATGGTGAGCATAATGGTTTGCTCACCCCCATTACTTTTCTCATTGTCTTCTCTTCCTCTGTGTAGGTTAAGCATGGCTGGCGGCAGCGGCGTGAAGACGATCGAGTGGTAGTCATTTGTCGATTGTGTTCTCGTTATCTTATGCTTCCGCCTATTTATGAATTTGTTGACTGTTGCTTTCGGCTTGATTGATTTCCTGCTTTGATTTGGATACATTGATATTGTCGGGTTGAACTTTTGGAATTATGTTTAACTTTTTATTTGGTTTTGGAACTTAATAAATAAATTGGTTTAAACTTATTTGAGGATGTGTTTATGCATGTATAAGTCAGATTTATGTGCTCATATTTTGTTTAATTGTTCTTAGTAGATAAGTAGCGCCCGTTGATAATCAAGTCTTTAACTGAGAATTTGCGAAAAATTTACTCTGATTTTTATAAATAAATTCGGTAAATTCTTTAAAATAAAATGGGGCGTTACAATAATGTTGCTGCTAGCACCTCCAGACAACAGGCTCACTCTCAAAGGAGTGAAAATAGAGAAGGTGTGGCAATAAATAATGAAGTTCCCAGTGAAGACAGACGGGGGAAGTCCATGGAACTTTTCATTTCCCAAATGGTAGTTGATGTTGTGGAAGAGGGAGGAGAGCAGAGAGTGGAAGACATGGGGAGTCTTGAAATCATGCCTATATCAGAGGAGGAGCAAAACATGGAGTCTAATACTGAAGTGATGGAATTAAAGAGGACTGATTTGAGGAGAACTTGGAAAAGGTCTTCAGCTAGAACATGGAGGCTCATGAGGAATCCTTCAATAGGAGAGACTGACATGGCTATTACTGGGAGTAAAAGAGAGAGAGGTGATGATATGCAACTACAGATGGTGGATTACATTGCTGTAGAGGAGGATCATCAAGAGAAGAAAGTTAAGCTATCAAACAAGAAGGTGGAGAAGGCCAGCCTCAAAATGGCCCCAATGTGATCAGTGAAGGCAATGGTGTAGAACTGCAGAGGGCTGGGTGGGCCCTCTACAGTTTCCCAAATCAAGGATTCAAGAAGAATCCACCACCCACATATTATTTTTTTATCTGAAACAAAAAAAAAAGTAAAGACTTTACCAAAACTGTTGGTATGAAACTGGGTTTTCAAAATAGATGGAAATTGGAAGAACCTTCAGGAACTAGAGGGGGACTTCTTCTCATGTAGGATCAGTCTATGGAAATAAGGAATATTATTGGGAATAGTTTTTGTCTCCAAATTTATGCTAGAGGACCTGGTATCAGTGATTGGGTTTGGATGATCTTTGTATACCTGAGTACTGAGAAACAGCAAAGAGAACAGCAATGGGAGTTTTTATATGATAGGAAGAGGAGCTGGGTAGTGTGTGGGCACTTGCAGGGAATTAGAATGACATTGTGAACAATGAGGAGAAAAGAGGAGGTCTTGTCAGGTCTTATAACAGTTTTTTGGCATTCAAGGAGTTCATTTTGAGGATGGAAATGCAGGAGCAGGATCAGAAAGGGTCCTTTTTTACTTGGGAAAAAAATAGAAAGGGGGATGGATATGTGGAAGAGAGATTGGACAAGGTGTACACTTCTGTGGATTGGCTATTTTAGTATCCCAAAATGGAAGTCTTCAATTTTTACAGATGTGCATCAGATCATAATGTCCTCCTAATTGACACTGAGGTGGAACTTGAAACAAAAAGGAAGAGATTTATTTTTTGTAGTAGCTAGCATAATAAAGAAGGTGTTTCTGAAGCTGTACAGAAAAAGGCTGGCAAGCCGAGTGTGAAGGATCAGAAATGTTCAAGGTTCACCAGAGAGTGAAGAATACATGAATGGCTTTGTTGGCATGGCACAAACCTATCAAGAGAAATAATTAGACATTAATCCAGGTGTTGGCATCTAAAATGGAAGATATGAGAGTTGAAGGTGGTATGACTAACTGGGCAGAATGGGGAGATACCAAAATAGAACTGGACAATGCATATAGAGAGGAGGAGAGATTTTGTAGATTAAAGTCCAGAGCCCTGTGGCTCAAAGCTTGGGACAAGAATACTCGATTCTTTCATGCTTACACATCTCAGAGGAGGAAGAGCAATTCCATCCAAAGTCTAGTGACAGGGGCAGGTGTGGCGTGTGAGAGCAAAAAAGAGTTGGAGGATCACATTGTCAGTTTCTATTCATCTTTTTTTCAATCATAGGGGTCTGTAAGAGGTGAGGAGCTACTGCAACATATTCCTCATTCTATTTCAGACGCCAACAACAATGATTTGATTAAACAGGTGAGTGAGGAAGAGATACATGCTGCTCTTTTTATTATGGCTCCTGAAAAATCTTATGCGAAAGATGGTATGCCTGCATTAGTTTTCCATCATTTCTGGCATCTTTTGAAAACTGAAATTTGTAAGGTTGTGTCAAGTTTTTTCTTTTCTGGGTAAATTCTCAAGAACTGGAACCACACAAAGATCACGTTAATTCCAAAATGTCTGTATCCTGATGACTTGAGTAGTTACAGGACTATTAGTCTCTGTGGAGTATTGTACAAGCTGATTGCAAAGGTGCTAGCTGAGAGGCTTAAAACATGTTTAAATAACTGCATAAGTGAAGCTCAGACAGCTTTTGTACCAGGGAGACAGCTTTTAGACAATGTGGTGCTTGCTCATGAAGTGTTTCACTTCCTCAATAGACACAGGACAAGACAGAATGGATTCATGGCAATTAAAATGGACATGGAGAAGGCATATGACCGTGTGGAGTAGCAGTGTATCAGACTAACTATGAAGAAAATGAGTTTTCATAACAAAATCATCAAATGGATTATGGCATGCGTATCAACACCTTCTTTCTCCTTTAATCTAAATGGCAGGGTGTGTGGTTTTATTAACCCAACCAGAGGGATTAGGCGGGATGATCCACTATCACCCTACATTTTTCTTTTCGTTTCAGAGCTCTTTTTAGCTGCTATGGCCTTTAATGTGCAAAGGGGGGTTTCAGAGCTCTAAGGAGGGTCCTATGCTAACACATCTCTTATTTGCTGATGATGCACTGATATTCTGTAAGGCAGATGCTATGTTGTTGATGAAATTGCTCAAGAAGTACCAAGACTTTGCAGGGCAGAAAGTCAACCAACACAAGTCTTCCATGTTCTTAAGCATGAATGTCTCAACAGCCACATGTGAAAGAATCTGCTGAATTTTAAATAGGGTGATTGTGAAGAAATCTTCAAGGTACCTGGGGCTCCCCTTGGACATTGGAGCATCAAAAAGTGAAACCTTCTAATTTGTGGTGGATACAGTCAGAGCAAGAATGTACAGTTGGAAAAATCATTTCCTCTCTAATGCTGCAAAGAAATTCTAGTGAAAGTTGTCCTAAATGCACTCCCAGTGTTTGTGATGTCATGTTTTGTCTTGCCTATGGGAATCTGCAAGGAGGTTTGTACGCTAATTGCTGAATTTTGGTGGAAGAAATGGGAGGGAACAACAAAGGGCTATACTGGATGGCTTTGGATAAGATGAGTTGGGCTAAACAGAATGGTGGTTTGGGTTTTCAAAACATCAATCTTTTCAACGGAGCTCTGATTCTTAAGTAATTGTGGAGGATTTTTGAACAGCCTGATCTACTGATTAGTAATGTGCTTAAGAAAAGGCATTTCCCTGCCTGCTCTTTGTTTGATTATGAGAAGAAATCAGGGGTGTCATGGCTCTGGAGTTCTTGATCAACTGTTATTCCTTATTTGAAATCTCAGATGAGCATTGTGATTAAAAATGGCGTTGATACCAAACTGAATGAGGGTAACTAGATCCCTGATTTAATGGGGTGTAAGCCTGCGTTGAGAGTGCAAGTTGATGGTGAACAGTTCAGAGTGAAGGATCTGATATTGGCCAATTGATGTGAATGGGATGAAGTGCTAGTTAGGATTCTGTTTCAAACAGAAGTGGCAGATAAAATCTTGGCTATTAAAACTCTGAATCCCAGGGCTACTGATTTAAAGAAGTGTGAGTCTCTGGACAAAGGAAGATTTTCTGTCAAGAAAGCATATAAGTGAGTTGAACTCAAAGGAGATTAGCAAGCTATCAATAGGTGAAACCAGTAAAATGGCTACAGGAAATAAAAGAGCAAGGATGAAATGCTGGGAGCTTAAGATAGTCTGGCAAGTAAAGACTTTTATATGGAGATGTTTCTCCAACATACTACCAGTGAACTGTAATCTGATGAAAAAAGGGATGCAAGTGGAACCTGTGTGTCAGAGCTGTGGAGAACAAGATGAAATAGTGGAACATGTGCTGTTCAATTGTCCTAGATCCAAACTAACATGGAGGATGGTACCTGTGCAGTGGAACAGGATGGAGGAAGAAGCAATCACCTTTAAAGAATGGTGGTGGTGGTTGAGTTCTATGAACTACAACGATACATCTGAAGATAGAACTCAACTATCAACATATATATTATGGTGGTTGTGGAAGTCTCGAAATCTGTGTGTGTTTGAAAAGAGATGGAAGAATGCAGACTGGATCTTGGCCATGGCAATGCAAGAATGGGGGGAATACCAAGAGTGGAGAGGGGAGTACTCTAGGTCTCGTGTCAGTTGTAACACTCCGCCTCTACTAGCTTTTAAAATCAGAGTAAAATTTTTGCTTTTATTTTCGAAAGGTCGTGCGAACTGGTTTTCGAAAATACTAACTTATTGCGGGAAGGCCACAGATAAAAACTTACTTAACTTACTCACAAACATAAATAAAACATGCAATGTCTGACTGTCTCGCACTATCTAGCTAGCGGAAGCTTAACATGCGGCATCATCGCGCGGTCCTGCTCGGCTGTGGCCCTCGCGCGCGTTGTCGCGCCCGCCCGCGTGCTCGCACGCGTTGTGCTCGGTTGCGGTCTCCTTGCGCTGCTTGGTCTCGCGAAGATTTTCCCATCGGGTGCGGTGGCGGGCAACCGGTCGCTCAGCTTGTGCGCGTTGCCCAGGCTCTGCTTTAATTGCGACACATGAATTACTGAATGGATTTGCGATTCTGTAGCGTCCCGTTCGATTTATAGAAATTCTTGAATTTTTCTATTTATCGAATACTATTTTTAAGGTTATTTTTATTTTATTGGTCGCGATGTCGACTTAAATAAAAGGTTGGACTACTCGATCGTTTTATTGAAAAACGCTTGTCGTTCGGCGATTTCGGTTTAATCGCGTGAACCAAATATAATCCGTTTGAATAATGGATTTTTCGGATATTTAGGCATTATTAGTATGGTTATTTTATTTTATTTTTCCAAGCATTATATATGTTTGGATTTTATGAAATTGAGCCAATAAACCGGTAGTAGAAACCGGCCGACTCGTAAACCCGTTGTTTACAAATTATTTGGGATTTGTTATTATTATTATTATTATTATTATTATTATTATTATTATTATTATTATTATTATTATTATTTATTGAATGCCTAATTGTCTTTATATGTCTAAATGTGTGTTATTAATTAATAATTAATGTGCATATTTATATTAATAATATCCAATTTTATTTTAAATTTTCGATCCGAACCGAATTAATATAATTATCAGTTAAGTTGAACCTGAGAGACAGAGCCGAATGTTGAGCCCGAGAAAACTGGCCCGAGCTTCTTAAACCGAGCGAACCCGTTCTCCCCAGCCCAAAAATCGGCCCGGTTTTTCCCTTAAACCTAGTGTGTGTATCGTGGAGAAAGGAAAGAAAAGCCGCGATCCCTCTTCTCTCTCACGCAAAAAGCCGACACGCTCATCTCTCTCGTTGAAACCCTTCCCGTCACCATCTCCTTTCTCCTCTCGCCAAAACGCAGCCTTCCCCTTCTCAAAATCGCTCGATCTCTCCTTCCTTCTCTCGCAAATCCCATCGCAGCAACTGCCGGCGAGCCTCAACCACCATCGCGTAGGCCCGCCTCCCCAACCTCTGGCGAGCCCTCCTTCCGTGAACGATGATCCCAGCATCTCCGGCGAGCCTTCCTCCGTCGTCTGCTGCTTCTCCGCGACACTCCGGCGGGTTTCTTCCGCCGTGAACCAGGGCCCCACGCCGCGAGCAGAACTCCCGTCCCGTCCAGCAACTCAGGTCGCCATCCCCCTCCGTCGTGGCTGTCCTCACGACCGCTGGCAGACGCGCCCTTCCACCACGAACATCCCTTCGCCGTCGCCGCCGCGAGCAGGTCACCACTCCCAGCGAGGATCCTAAACGACCCTCCTCCGTGAGCCCTCCTCCGCTCACCTGCTACTTCCGGCGAGGCCATCGTCGCTGCCCCTCCGACGCGGCCAGCCATCGCGTGTCTCTGTTCTCGAGCCACAGGATTTTTTCGGCAAGAGCAGCGACCTTTGTGAGCCCCGACGAGCTCTGGCGGTTGAAGAACTCATCACACGCGAACCGGCTGCCGCTCGTCACCTCAGGCCCGCGAGACGAGCTTTCGCCGTCGAGCCGTTTGATTCGAACCCTCCTTCATTTGTTTCTCGTTTATTCCCGAAGGAGGTATATGGCTGGACCTTCTTCAATTATTTTTGAGTTTAAATTGAAGGATTATGTAGGATTTGAAATTCATGGCGATGAGACGCTTGATTATTCGAATGCATGATGTTGGTTTAATATTAATGTGAATTGTCATGTATTATCATAGCAAGATACGTAATAATTAAATCGAATCATAAGATTTTATTTTCTATCGTTTTTAAGAAGACCGAGTTGGACCTGGGACAACGTGTTTTATAATCCACCGAGTGTTTATATCTTAAAGTAGTGATATCGAGGCTTGCTTAACGTGTCAATTACGTGATTTCGAGGCTATGTTGTTGTGTGATAGTTTTGAGTTGTTGAAG